TTTTTTCATTCATTCACTTTTTATTTTTATTTTTTGCGTCCTCTCTCTCTCTCTCTCTCTCTCTCTCTCTCTCTCTCTCTCTCTTTCTCTCTCGATAAGCGCACTCTTGTACTCCAGATCGAACCCCAAAATTGGGAGAGTACCATTTTCGGGGGGCTAAATTACCTTTTTCAGACTTCTCTTTTTTACATTCATTCATAAATTTTAAAAAAGCGTCATCTCTCTCTCTCTCTCTCTCTCTCTCTCTCTCTCTCTCTCTCTCTCTCTCGATCAGCGCACTCTTGTACTCCATACACATCGCTGAGCGCCTTTTCTTTTCCCATTTTTGTTTTTCATTTTCTCCTTTTTCCCACCCCTCCTTTTTCCTTTTCTTCTCTTTTTCCCCCCCACCCTTTTTTCCCTTTTCTTTTCCTTCTGAGCTTATGATGATTTTTTGTTGAAGCGTGCACGAAAGACCTATGTCTTCCCTTTTTTTTTTCTTTTTTTTTTAAGACATTCTGTGGCCTCTGTTTATCACTATTCTCTTTGGCTTGGCTATGCCGTTTCTCCGCTGTTCCATTCTCAATCTTTCGGACTTCAGTACTATTCGCGATTTCACTTTTTTTTTTTCCGTTTACCAATTTGAGTTCGTAAGCGGAAAAAAAAAAAAAAAAAAAAAGGTGAGAAGTACTATGTGGCGCGTGCACACACTCAGCGTGCGTGCTCACTGAGATAGCCTCTTTTTATATTAAAAAAAAAGAATTAAAAAAAAAAGACCGTCTGACTCACTGTCCTGGCCCCTCTCTGCCTCTCTGCCTATCACTATACTATTCTCCTTTTTCCTTTTCCTTTTCTCCCCTATTTCCTTTTCTTTTTCTCCCCCTTTTTTTTTCTTTTTCACCCCCTTTTTTTTTCTTTTTCTCCCCCTTTTTTTATTATTTTTCTCCCCCTTTTTTTCTTTTTTTTCCCTTCGGAAATGTTGCTGATGGATGTGCGCACGGCGCATCTTGGGAGAGTATTTAAAAAAAAAAAAAAAGACCGTCTGACTCACTGTCATGTCCTCTCTGCCTATCACC